CGCTTAGCTGTAGTCGCTTATGTAGTATGTTACCATATTTGGGACTCTCTGCTCGTGTACTATAGCTATGCTTCCGGACTCTTCTGGTACTGTCTAGGACAATCCGTACTACTCCAGAACGGTCTAGACAGGTCTATGCCTTACTCATCTCTTACTCATCCTATGATGCGATATGTCGCAATTCTTTCATCATCGTATTATTCATCGCACTATGGTACATGTGACTAACCACTCTTCGATTAGTCATGGACACTTTCCTGTAGTATATAAGGACTTCAGATTTCGTCCTCCCTCTTCAGTCTTTCCTTACTGACTGAAGAGTGAGTACTTCGTTACATCTATCTCTAACTTGTAGTTACTTACTTAACCTTTGTAGTCTTGCTTCGACTCTAGGTACAGTTGGTTACTGCAATATAGTCTTTCCTTACTGACTGAAGATCTTGCTTCGACTCTAGTCGGATCTAATCTTTGTCTTCACAGCCCCGAGTTTATCACAGCTTTCCGCCGAATATCATAGCTTGTATGTGACCTGTCCTCATGTATCGACTCGATACTGCCGGCGCTGAAGATGATATCCATGACCAAATAGCATGGTAGCAAACTACTGCGCTGTCGCAGCAGCAGGTATAGTCCTAACTGGAGCTGCAACATATCACTTGAATACCCTTGATACTGAAACCCGAAATGTTGACTGGTCTCTTACACAGCGGTGTTCTTTTATGACTCAATCATCACGACTGCAGAAGAGATCCGATGCTTTTGGGGACGGAAGATCACAGGGGCAGCCATTTTGTTCTGGCTGAACAAGTACATGTCCATCCTGTGTTTGGTCTGGACATTCGCAACATTTCTAAACATCTCAGACAAGGTACGTATTCCGCCCTTGCTGGGATCACAAAAATCTCCATGTATCTTGACTTTGCCAGAGGTGAAGCAATTCAATGGACTCTCCGCAAAGTACTACAATTAATTGCGTCTATGCAGCTGCGCTTTTTCTTCCAGGGGTTCCAATGCCGTTCTGTACTTGCTTTACATAGTCCAGGCAGGTACGCGTACTATATTCACTCATATTCACAAACATGTCTCAATGTTTTGGACTTCCTAGCCTTCACGGCCATACGCGTCTATGCACTTGGGAGGAGTTTGACGCTGTGTGCTATCACTGCTGTTCTATCCTTGGTACCTACCGGCATTAACTTTGTGAGATTGAATCACCGCATTTTCACATTACGTGCTATCCCATGAACACTGATCTATACACAGGTTCATTTTCGTTTCGGACTGACCGGCAAGAACATCTTCCCCTTTGGATGTACAGGATTTGACAATGCGCCCATGGGTCTCTCTCAAAAGTGATTCACCCTAAGAGCGTCGATTGCAACTATCTGCTGAAGCCCAACCTATCTATTCTAGGTGTAATGCTCAATTCAACTCGACCACCAATCCTCTATCTTACGGGCTCCTTCAGTCACAATCATAGTTCGGTCGTGCCTGATTGTAGCAGACGGCCTCGCCATAGGTGTCACATGGTTTACATTAGGCCACCAATATTCAACTCAACGCGAAGGGGTGCTTAAGGGCTCGATATCTACTGTTTTGCTGATAGAAGGTGTGTACTGAGTGATGATTGTTCGTTCGAAGGGACATACGCTAATGAAATACCATGAAGGGACCATCTATTTCCTGTGAGTGCGGTGGCTTTGCGGAATATCGCATCTCACTCCTTTCTCATTTAGCATCCTCGCTATGCTCAATTCCCTACATCTTGCCTTCACATTACTTTCAGTAAACTCACACTCCATAACGTAACCAGTGCAACACTTGACCCTGAGCATTACAGATCGCTGTAGACGCGCTTCAATCTCTAAGCGTAGTCTCATTCTTCACAGCCCCGTATGTGCGCCCATGCATCTATCAATTGAATGTCGTCTGACTACTCGTATGTACCCCCAAATACGCAGGCTATCTGCCATCATCATGTCGCGCTTCCTCCTCCACCTACAATCAGCGAGCCTATGGGCCGTTGGCTCCATGCCGTCCTCACAACTTTCGTCGCTGCACCCCGATCGTTCTCTGGTATTCGAACGGGTCGTCGGATCCCTTGAAGCATCGATTGCCGCCGACGATTACCTCACAGAGGACCACGACGACGGTGACAATGTGGAGAGAGCTGAGGAGTCGACTCAGACATCGAGGGAGTAGTCTGGCTCGCGGGTTTAAGGAATACGTCAAGGACTGTGGTATCTGGGGAGAAGTGAGATGGATCGCGTACGGCCTGCTCGTTGACCTCGAGATTGTATTGACTCGCGCTTGATGCCCCAATCACTCAGGGCTGTATGTATTGTTGTACCAAGTCGATCGGGACGAGACTGTCGTGCCTTTGCAACGATAATCAGCAGTCCCTGTTCAGTCAGTGTTCTTTGGTCGTCACTGGGTGGTTTCGAGGCAGACATACAGGCGTTTGCACCAGAAACTTTAGCCGATCAGTCTAACTTGCCTTCAAGGAGCTCGTCGTACAAATTCGCGACCGACAACACTCTCATAAGCATAACAGACATAATACAATATGACATATACTACCGCAAGCGCAAGCAAAACCGCGCGAAGTCGGACGGAGTAGGGCCCGTAACCAATGCAACGTTCCGACGTGGGCCAAAGATCAGGTGTACGGTCTTCGGGCGATGTCAGACGCGTACCGGCCTGCTCCAGAGGAATGTCATCCTAGAGCATCAGCTAGCCCAGACACCTGCTTCGACGACGCCGGGACGCGAGAACAGGCCTGCAATATTTTTCGGGGGGAGGGGAGGCTGAGCTCTACTTAGTCTGCATGGATGAGATTGAGGGTAATTTTGCCGCTAGCGAGTCAACTATGCGAGAATTGGTGGTACCCCAGGAGGCAGCGACGGCGCATCTCAGGGGTCCAACCTCGCCCGATACAACCGTTGACCTCGCTCATGACGACAGCTCAGGAGGAGAGACACGCCCGATGTCGTTCTCGCCCTCTGAAAGCGACACAGGGCTAAGACCGATGCATCGATGGCAGCTGCGCAGAAGGAGCGCGCTAGTCTCCCAATGATCGCTCTTCTCGGTGTCCAGCCGGACCTCGGAACTCGCGCCGGAGACGTATCGTCCACAATTTGGTGAATGTGATGTTCCATGACGGCAGGTTCAGCGGCAATGTCAGTCGAGCTTCGATTTGTGCGGTTAGCAGGCGTCTGGCACAGGATATGCGTCGGCTTGAATGTAGAGGGCGGCCAAGACCTGGCACGATGGGTTCGAGGGAGCCCTGAGAGTGAAGAGATCTCGGAAGGGAAGACATGCGAGTTGTGAGGAGATAGCAGAGGGAAGTAAAGTCGTTCCAGCACGTGCTAGTTCAACACCGGCGCCGCGTCGTCTGAGGGGACGGTGTCCTCCAGCCGCCCCGCTCCACCGTCAAGTTAGCAATCGTGAGCCTATCGTCGACGTAGAGCGCAAAACTCCCTGTTCGCTAGCAGCTGAAGCTGAGAGCGCACCCGCAGAGTGCAACACGAACATCCTCGCCTCTCCGCCCATGTCTCGACACCAATCAAGCACGGGTTCCGCAACCATGTCTTGCTGACACCCAGAGCGTAATGGCGTAAATGAGGATGACAGGTGTGACGATCCATCAGATGCCGCCAAAATGTCGCTATGGCTTTTGCTCGTGGCAGAGTGAGTGTGCGTAAGTGAGAAGCCCTGCTCGATGTCCTAGGAGTTCAGTGTGCTGTGTCGCGAACTAACTCCGTGTACGCGAGCATAGACATTTCGTACCTATGTTCGCCCTAAGAGGACTTTCTTTGAGCAGGGAAGTTGAAGGCGAGAGAGCTGCTTCGGGTTGCGGATGTATGCCACGCATATCGACTTGAACCTGCATGGGAGAGAGACAGGTGAGCCCATAGCGTAAACGCTAGTGGTGTTCAATCCATGAGTGCGAGCGACACGAGGAGCCAGTAAGGAGGCTCTGGAAGGGGTTTGTATCGTCATTTATCGTGATCGCTACTCACCTGGCGAGGAGGGGACCCCCATAGATAGATAGATAGTATGCCTTTCGACAACCTTGTTCAGGCGATGTCGAGTTGCGGGACCGGGAGAGCACTCAGGGCGTCACGGCTAGGCCTCAGGTACGACAGTGTTATGACACTTTCGCAGTGCTGACGTGCGCACTGGCGCGGCCCCACAACAGAAGAGACGAGCAAGCGGAAAGGAAGAGCTGAGAGCAGAGACCAGCGAGCTGCTGCGCCTGAGCTGCCGCGGACCTGTGCGCACGGGAACCCGGCCCGTGTCCCCGTGCCGCGCGACTGCGGCTGTCTGCACTACGAGCTCCCGGGCCGGGCAGCCCTCCAAGCATGGCAGCACAAACACCCTGCGGATACTCGAGTGGGTAGGACAAAGCCTCTTCCATCCATGCTCAATGGATGACGCGCAGGACTCGGGTGCAGCACTGGTGCCTGCATGTGAACGACTCGGACCCCTGTTAGAAGCGCAGTCTTTGGAATGTTCATTTGAATCCCCTTGAGTGCGTTCTTCCAATTTCACTCTATACCACTCTACCCATCGCGAGTAGCCCGCTCCCTATCGACGGTACCTATGTCTGCGCATCTAGGGCTACCGATCTTCCATCGCTCTCCCCCGCGCCCGCTTCCCCAGCTTCTCTCGATGGACATCATGCCTCTCTGAAGCCTTGTCGTCTGCTATCGCGGCAGTACTTATGGACGCTATGGTCAAGTCGACAACATCTTCCGCCTCCGATTTGCCTTCCAATCCCGATCTTTCGCTCAGTTCCTGGGTCCTTTCAGACAAACAGGTTGAGCGCCAGGACTCTCCGAGCTTGCGACCGCTCCTCGATGTACGTTGGTGCTGGATCTCGCTTCGCACAGTACAAGCGACGATGGCAGGGAAGTGAATGAACATGCGCTCGCTGGAGCTTACACCAAGGACCAAGGCTGGATACGAATGACGGTGAGCACATTCCTGCAACGTATTGAGCATGCACGCTATGATGCTGCTTACGCGTGTCGAGAAGCTGCAGGTAGGCAGAGCGCACAGTGTCCACCTTGCGCGCGCTGTATCTGTCTGCTCGGAACGACCATCTTTGCTCTCGATACGCGCTGCATCCCGCATATATGCGGCGCGCAATCACCGTGAACGCCTTTCTCAGTTGATTCAGATTCTGACACGTATACGTTGGTAGCAGGATCTTGGTACCCAATATTCTAACACGAACGACAAGTTCAAGGACTACTCCGAGTGCGCGCGAGACGAGCGTACATCCTCCCTATAGACAAAGCAGGGCAATTTCTATGTACGGACCGAATAGGTGTCCCTCCTGAACAAGTATGTTATACGCTCTTACCCCCTATGAGGCTTTGTTTGCATACACCATGTGGTAGTCCGTACGCGCGTGTGATATGCATATATGGGTGTTTGGGAATGACCAAGTGTCTCGCGCGACATGAAGCGCCGGTCCAGATGGTCTCGTCGCCTGCGTCCAAGTCCAATCTACTGTGGCCCACTTTTTCGTCTGCGTATCTTTTACAGGCATTTTCATCAACGCAGAACCTGCAAGACGTCCTTGCCTTCATCAAGATGGATATATGCGTGTCAAAACGAACAGTGCAATGACGTATCGGACGTCCGCAACTCTGGGTTGTGGGGTTTGGGCAGTGTTCATATAAATTTCCCAACTAGCCACGATCGCAGAATGCTTCCGACTCAGCTTCTATCTGTGCTTGTGGAATCGTGTACAGAATCCTGTCCTTACCCATCTATCCTCCCGCAGACCTTCGAACAAGCAGTCCAAAGCGAAGAAGAATCGTCTCCACCGCATCTCCGTGATGTTTTCCATCCAACTCTTCACCGCCACCCTCTCCCTTCCTTTGCTCTTCTCTACCGCCGCGCACCACTGCCTCCGACCTTATCTGAGTCCTACTCTGGCGTCAGCGGTATCAATGGTCAAGCGAAAATAGTAGCAGGGATGCGACATCAGCCGATAGTCTTATCCGATGGCCAGCCCAGCGCAGAGTTTCAGAGGCGGTTCTCCGAAGGCTTTGTGGCGGCGATTGCGACGGCCTTGAAGAGTGATGCGAAGAAGCGCACCGAAACAGTGACGATCATCAGCATTTGGTGTGTTCTGATCATACGCATCGAGTAACCTACAACGGCGGTTATAACCCGAAGGAGGATCGGGCCATGATGGTTTAAAACCTCCCTTCCCCCTCCACGTGATGCCAACCGTGCTTGTCCAGAGTTGTCTGTGCACACATCCGGGGTGGCTCTTCCATTGCCAGCGTCGTACCGCTCGGGTTCCTTTCCCGCCCTCTTCCCGCCGTGTACGGCTGTTCTGTGAGCTAGTTTGCGCTCTCCTTGCCTGTAGAACCCCTCTCCTCCTTCCTGCGCTCTGCCCGCCTCTGCGCGCGTGACAGCGGTGCCTGCGCGCGTAGTTCGGCTGCTCTCTTTCTGCATGCGGTATGTAGGTTTAGCACCGTCAAGGCCAGATTGCCCTTCAGGTTAAAACCGCCGTTGTAGTCTACACATAGCGTGTCGCCGACGTCGGGCTCGTTCCCTACTGATGCAGTGATGCAAGACGGGCTTGCAATTGTGCGGTGAGCAGGTGCCTGGATCTGGATGTGCCTCAATTTGAGTGTATGGAGGTCTGCAAGGACATAACGCGATGGAGCTGTAGAAGTGGTGCAGAGAGGTCTCCAGCGAGATGCGAGTCAAGCCCCACGTCAGATTATAAGTGCATGTTCCTGACCCGTCAGGCAAGCACGGCAATTTCTCTATGTTCTCCTAGAGGCACGACGAGGCAGCAGAGGGAGAGTGCTCGGGAGACCGCGCAGTTGTAGCCTGAGCACGAGCTAGTACGCCTCCAGCGTCACATCGTCTGAGGGGACACGTCAGCATGCCCGCGTCACCGTCAAGCCTATCACTTGCGTAGTGCCCAGAAAGGCTTTGCTGGAAAGGTAAACGATCGCATCGCGCGCAGATGAGAACGTAGCGGCAGAGCGAGACATGAAAATTCGAGCTCCTCTCCACCTATGGAACTTGCAGCCTCGATCTTGGACAAGCACGGTATCGGCCACCATGTCTTGCCAATCACCCAGAGAGTAAAGGGGTGAGGGAGACAGGTGTGCAGATGCACCAGATACCGCCGAGGACGTTGCCACGATGGTCGCTCGTGGAAGAGTGGATTGCGTAAGTGACAAGCCCTATCCGATGAGTATTCATTAGTAGATGTCGCCCAATTCGCAGGAAGAGCTAGATTCCATGTGCCTGAGCATAATCATCGCAGTGAAACTACATGCGTCGTACTTGGATTGGCTCTGAAAGCACTTGCTTTGAGCGTCGGGGTGATGGGTTAAAGAGCTGCTTTAGGTTGTAGATGTATGTCGCGCCTATAGACTCGAAGTTGCATGAGTAAGAGACCGGTGAACGCATAGTCTGAACGCTAGTGGTGTTTTATCCGTGAGCCCGAGATACACAAGGAGTCAGTAGGGAGGATCGGGAAAGGGCCACATCGCGCATGGCTAACTCACCTGGAGATGATGGGACCGCCCTAGGCGGACCGATTGTATGCCATCCGACGACCTGGTTCGTGTGATGTCGATTTGCGGGACCGGGAAAACGCCACAGCCGGGAATCAGGTAGTACGGGACTATGACATTCGTGTATTAATGCAGAAGCAAGCCCTAGCACGGTCAAAGAGCAGGAGAGACGGGCATGGGGATATCAAGAGCGAGTCTCATCTAGCTGCACTGCACTAGGAAGAATGCCGGCCCGGACCGGGCCTCAGGGAGCGAGACGCGGCGGCTTTCAACGCACCGTCGTGTTGTCTGCGTTCTCCAAGCCGACCTCGCGACGACCTCCCCGCTCGTCAGTAGCGCATCCTCTATCAAACGTACCTCTGACCGCGCATCTACAGATCTCTTATCCTTATCGCTCCTACCCGAGCGCAACGCCCCAACATCGCACAAATGGTGCCTCTGCGAAGCTTCTTCCTTTATCCCGACCTCCTTCCGCGCACTTGATACTTGACACCCCAGGACCATTTGGGATGAGGTTAGGGGCAATAACCCGTAGCCAATGAGAAAACTCCCCAAACTTCTGACTGCTTGTCGACAGCGGCTGGTTCCGGTGACCGACGAAAGCGGGGGATTAGGGTAGCCCTGCATTCACTGGAGCTTACACGGGGGACATCTTCGAGGTGTACGACGAGAATTCCTTCGGTCTCATGCCGGGCTCGTTCCTATATCACACTACCATCATGACGGTGCGTCCTTCCTTGTGGCGCTTAGATGCAGAGAGATGCGCATATGCTGATGTCTTCCCAGAAACGTATCACACCGATGATACGGCGAGACATGAGCACAAATGGGGGGGAAGCAGCTGTTGCGGAGCCACGTGTTCTGGCAGAGGAAAGGGGCGGGAGAATAGTCCCACTCGGCGAGGTACGTCAGGCACACCAACTGCCACATGATATTTCTATCTGATCCTTCAGCGAGCACGACTTCACATGCGTCCTCATTCTGCTCCTCCAACGACGCTCCCTCCAGACATCAGGGTGACCCAGATGCTCTCCGACGCTCTTGGAGAGTTTGACTAGTTTCTGAGGCATTTATGTGAGAATGTGGCATTACGTGTTGCAGTGGGTAGGTTTGTTATGCGATCTTCCAGAAGGAACATACTTCAGGTCTGTGAGATTCAGATTACCACATTGGACAGATGTGCCTATGACATGTGGCTTCTTCGCATCTTGCCACATTTTGTTCGCTCCCCAGAGATGCGACATTTACCGACTTCTCGTCAATATCTGATCATGAAGATAGAACAGTTCCGGACATATTCAATCATGGATGCTGTCAGAGATCCGTGTAAATACTTCTCCTCAACATGAGAAGAGACAACCCACAGACTTCGCGTCGCAACCCTGGCTCCTCATTAACACTATGGCTTCCTCACAGACTGGACAGCTTGCCACCCAATATTCTAGCATGTATGTTGCCCATCCTCATGTCTGAACCTGATACTGCGGGCGCTGAAGATGAAACTCCTGACCTCATAGTATGTTAGGAAATTACTGTACTTTCGCAGCAGCAGGTATAGTCTCTAATACGCTGCAGCATTCAATTTGAGTAACCCGAGAATTCACGCTAAACCATTCGCCAATCTGTTTGGCAGTGGTATTCCTGCACGACTCAATGATCACGACCCGGGAAGAAATACGGTGTTTCTGGGGACGGAAGATAACAGGAGCAGCCATCTTGTTCTGGCTGAACAAGTATATGACCACACTCTTTCTGGTTTGGGACCTCGCAACGGCATTGAACATATCCGACAAGGTACGTACTCCGTCCTTGCTAGGATGGAATGAAATCACATATAGGTTGACTCTGCGCCAGAGGTAAGGCAATTCAATGGACTCTCTACAGAGTACTGCGATCAATTGGGTCCGTACAGCTGTGATCTATCTACAAGGGGTGATCTCGTGGTTGATTACTTGCTTTTCACAATCCTGGCAGGTGCGCACCCTATATCTACTGATATCCACGAGCACATCTCAAAATTTTGACTGCCTAGTCTTCACATCAATACGCGTCTATGCGCTCAGGAGGAGTCTAGTACTCTGTACCGTCACTGCTGTCCTGACCTTAGTGCCTCTTGGAACTAACATGGTACAATTTGATTACGGCACGTTTATTGCTGTCCCGTAGACGCTAACTCATAAACAGGCAAACTTTAAATTTGGAGTGACCGGCGAGAACATCTTTCCCCTTGGATGCACAGGCGTGGTCAATATGCCTATCAATATAGTCAAATTGTGAGTGCATGCTATGTTGACGATCGAGATCATCCTGAAGCAGAACCTACTGATCTTAGGTGTAAATTGCTTTTCAAGTCGACTTGAACACCGTTTCACTGAGCTCCTTTAGTGACCATTATCTCTCGGACGTGCCTGATCGCAGCAGACGGCCTCGCCATTGGTGCAACATGGTTCACATTAGGTCTCCCGTATGCAAGTCGCCGTGATGGCGTTCTTAAGGGCTCAATATCTAGTGTTCTGCTGATAGATGGTATGTACTAAGTAGTAATGGTGTTGCACGAGGAATAGAAGGATAACAACATCATCTACGCAGGGACCATGTATTTCTTGTGAGCGGGATAGTTTTCCGTCATATAGCATCTCACTCCTTCCTCGTTCAGCACCCTCGCAGTGCTGGATTCCCTACATCTCGCCTTCACGTTGCTTTCGGTACGTTCACACTGCATAACTGAGCTAGCACAAGTTTGACTGTGGGTGTTATAGATCAACGTAGATGCACTACAACCTGCGAGCGTGGTGACGGCCTTCACGACCCCGTATGTGCACCATTACATCTGTTACTCGATCCCATGTCTTCTGACTCTTCGCATGAACATTCAACCACGCAGGTTATCTGCTGTCCTCGTGTCACGCTTCCTCCTCCATCTACAATCAGCGAGCCTCCGGGCTGTTGGCTCCACACCGTCCTCACAGATTTTGTCAATGCATCTCGACCACTCCCTGGTATTCGAGCGCATCGTTGGATCACTTGGAGCATCGATTTCTGCTGAAGATTATCTTAAGGAGGACTATGATGACGATGGAAATGTGGAGAGAGCTGACGAGCTGACATCGAGGGAGTAGTCTGGCTCAATGACCCATGGGGTTGAGGAAAGCGACAGGAACTGTGGTATCTATGTAGAAGTGAGATGGATTGCGTGATCCCTGCTCGTTCACCAAGTGACTGTAATGATTCGTTCTTTATGCATTAGTGGAATTCAGGGGTAAATGATTGTGTCATCATGTTGAGTGGGACGAGTCTGTAGTTTGCCTTTGCAGCGATCACCAGCAGCCGCTATTCAGTGATATCGCGTTATTCGGCTTAATATTCGTCGGTGCATGGTTCTAAGCGAGGCACACGTACACGTGATTATACCAAGAATTGCAGTAGATCAGTCCGATCTGCCTTCAACGAGCTCGTCGTACAAGATCACGACCCGTAACATTCATAAGCACAGCAGATACATCAACTGACATGTGCTATTGCATCCCAAGCAAAAACGCGCGAAACAGGACGAACCAGGGCCAAAACCATTCCACGTTCCTCCGTGGGCTAGAGATCAGGGAGACGGTCTCCGGGCGATATCAGACAGCAACCGCAGAGCCCTCTCCAGAGTAATGTCGTCCTAGAACATTAGCTATCCCGGGGAGAGCGCATCTGCGTCGAGGATTCCGGGACGCAAGGACAGGTATCTGAACCTCGTTGGGAGAATGGGAGGGTTCAGCATTGATTCGTGTGCAGGAACGAGATCATGAGCAGTGTTGTCCCCAGCGGGACATTCAAGATCGATGCCCTAGGAGGCAGCGACGGCGCGTCTAGCGGGTCGGACCTCGCGTGGTGCAACCATCGATCATGATTGTGACCCAAGCACGGGAGGAGGAGAGGTACAGTCGATGTTCTTCTCGCCCTCTGGGAGCGAGGTAGTGTATACGTCGATAGTAGCATTATGGGAGGGGTACAATGACTTCCCAATCAGGGCTCTCCTAGGTGATCAGCTGGAGACGCGACCTAGTGCCAGTGGTTTTGCACGACAGCACCTGACGCAGTGATGCGAGACGGGCTTGCGTTTGTACGATGAGAGAGCGCCTGGATCGGGATGTGCTTCGACTTGAGTGCAGTAAGAGCAGCCGAGGCCTGGGGCGATGGGTACCAGAGACGGAGAGGACAAGAGCTGAGAGGACTGGAACAAAATACGAGTCATGCGATGTGTCAGATCCTCAGCGCAGATCCCTCAAGCAAGCACGGCAGTTCCTAGATGTTCTCCTGAAGCTACGAAGAGGCGGCAGAGGGAGAGACGTCGGGAGGTTGCTCCATTCCAGCTCGTGCTAGTACGGCTCCTGCGATACATCGTCTGAGGCGATGCGTCAGCTTGTCCTCTCCACCGTCAAGATCGCATTTGGTCATCGGTGCAGAACACAAACAAGCCCTCTTCGCTGGCAAGGGAATAAATGGCAGGTGAGAACGTACCGGCAGAGCGCGACATGAACATCCGAGCCCCTCTCCCACGATGAGATGGCGGCCTTGATCAAGCACGCCACCACGTCTTGCCAATCTTGCAGAGCGCAACGGAGTGAGTGAGACGGATGCGCCGATACACCAGATGCCGCCAAGGACATCGCTATGACGGTTGCTCGTGGAAGGGTGGGTAGAGAACTCTTGTTCGATGAGTACTCAGTGACCGATGTCGCGCGGTCTGCGGGAAGAGCTAGATCCCGTGTGCGCGAGCATAGTATCACTAGAGAACTATATACGTCGTACCTCGGTTAGCTCTGAGGGAACTTGCTTTGAGCTGAGAGGTGGAAGGTGAAAGAGCTGCTTCGGGTTGTGAGATGTATGCCGCGCCTATCGACTCGACCCTGCAGGAGAGGGAGACCGATGAATGCATAGCGCAAACGCCACTCGTGTTCTATCAATGAAAGTGAGCGACACAAGGAGTCAGTAGGGAGGATCGGGGAAGGGGGTTCATCGCGCATCGCTACTCACCTAGAGATGATGGGACCGCCCTAGGCAGACCACTTGTATGCCATTCGACGACCTTGTTCAGAGTCGTCACAGCTAGACGTCAAGTAGGAGTGTGCTATGACCCTCTGGTGATGCAGACGTGCGCACGAGCGCGGTCCAAGGGCAGGAGATACGAGCAAGGGAATAGCGAGAGCAAAGAACAGCGAGCGTCGTCTAGCTGCACCAGCCGGAGCCGAGAGACTCGCGCTAGGGACGGCGGCGGATCTATGGCCCGGGGGGCCGGCCCGCACCCGGCATGATGAGCAAGCGCCATTCGAGACGCTGCGCTAGGCTCAAGACTCAACAAGTACTGAGAGTCAACATATCGCTCAAAGCTTTGGGCAGTACTTACTGCGATGCACGGCAGCCCGCATTCCCTACGCATGGTTGAGTGGGTACTCCAGATCCTTCTTACAACGATACTAAAATGGCTGTCTTGCAGGTGCCAGTGAACGTAAGCCGCCAACTACCAGCGACTATGCACATTGCATCCCGACATCGTACGTCATCACAGCTGCTGGAAAGCTCTTGTCTGTGATCCCCAGACTTTCGTCGCAGCCACCCTCTTCGCAAGTAGCCCACTCCTTATTGGAAGTACTAGTGCCTTCGCCGGCGCATATACCGGTCCCCCATGGCCATCGTTACTCCCCGCGTCTGATGCCGCAGCATCCCTCGAGGATCATACCTCTCTAAACCTCCATCGTCCACCGCAGCGGCACCAGATCAAGGCCACAACACCTACCGCTGCTGATGCGCCTTCCTCCTATCCCAATCTCCTTCCGCGCACTCAGTCCGCGGCTAGCAACGAAGCCAGTGAGCTCATGCTAGACGAACGTCTCCGGATCTGCGACTGCTCCTGCATGTATGCAGGTGTTGTACCTCGCTCGGCGACTGCACAAGCGATGAAAGCGGTGGAGAGGGTGAGCTCGTGCTCGCTGCAGCCTACGCCAAGGACAATGGCTAGAGGCTAAACACGGTGAGCACATTTTCGCAACGTATCGCGCTTGCACGCTGTCCTGCTGCGAACGTCTGTCGCGAAGCTACGCATGCGGCGGGTATGCAGAGCGCACAGTGTTCACCTTGCGCGTGCCGTACCGACGTGCTCGTAACGACCGTCTACGCTGTCGATATGCACTGCACTCAGCACGTATGCGGCAACCGTGATCGCTGTCTTTGTCAGTCGATTCTAATCCCGACGTGTATGTGTTAGTAGCGGAATCATGACATCCTATATTCTGGTACGAGCGAGACATTCGTGAACAACTGCAAGCGCGCACGAGAACGAGCGTACATCCTCTCAGACACGGCAGGTTGGCCTTCACGTACGGAGGAGATATGCACCCCTCTAGAACACGTACGTTCTCCGCTCTATATGGGTGTTCGGGGAGGGTCAAACGCGGTCTCGCACGACAGGAAGCGCCGGTCCGGATGGTCCCGCCGCTCTTCGCCCCAGCCCAAGCCTAATCTTTTATGACTCATGCGCGCAACTTCTGTTTCTTGCACCATCCTTGCTCTTATGTCCACTCATGTGAGACAGCCATACCCTCATTATGCTGGATATATGCGTGCAAAAACCAGCAGTGCCACGGTATAAGCATCGGACGTACGCAAGTCTGTGTTGTGCGGCTTGGACAGTGTAAAGAGTCTCTACTGTACTTACCGTACCTATCCATTTGCCTGCAGACAGACCTTCGAAGAAGCAGTCCAAAGCGAAGATGAATCGTCTCCGCCTCATCTCCGCAGCGTTTTCCATCGCATTCTCCATCGCTATCCTCTCGCTTCCTCCGCTATCATCTGCCGCTGCTCTCTACTGCCTGCGACCTTCTCTAGAGTTCTTTTCCAGCGTCAACGATGGCAACAGTCAAGTGAAGATGGTCTTATCCGATGGCCGGCACAGCGGAGAGTTTTAGAGGCGGTTCTGCGATGGCATTGAGGCGGCGAGCGTAAGCTTCTCGAAAACCGGCGCGAAGAAGCCTACCCCAACAGATAGTGCCATCGGTATTCGGTGTTGTGATGATGCGTAGAGCGTGTCGTCGGTTCGTCACCTATTCATATTCGCGTCTTTTCACCTATTCCTATGCGTGCGACTTTGTCAGTTTCGATTTCAGGGTATGACTCAAACCACCCGTTCCGACCAGAGTGAGGCCGCGATCGTCGTGCTAAAGGAGGCGATCGCAAGGGAGGTGAAGAGCCGCTCTGCGCACAGGTTGCGCTCAAGGCTGTCATTCACGAACCTTACTGCGAGAACTTCGGCCACATGCTGTTCCTGTATGGAAACCCAATCATTACGGTGCATCATATCTGGCTACTCCTGGACGAAGAGATGCCCATATGTTGACGCATCCGCAGAAACCCATCATGCCAACGGTATGGCGAGACCCTCAAATTAAGCCTCACATACGGGAGAGTGTACGCGTGTGATCATCAGAAATACCTCCCGGCCTAACGCCCCTTATCAGTGGGCTCTCCGTCGCTTTTCGGTGCTGACCGCATCATGATTTCCAAATCCAAGTGATCCACCTTCCCTCACCTATGCCGTCTTCCTCCCTATCAGTACGCCTCCTAGATGCACTGAAAATCTACTGCTTGCACCTGTCGTGAAGGCGCAAACGGTGTCATCCACTTGCGTAAAGGCCCCCAAGCCACCAGCGACGGGTAGGAAACGCCCAAGTTTCCCCGCACTCTTTTCGTCCAAGCTGCTGCCACAGTAGCGGACAATGGTAAACCAGAGGATTGCGCAAGTGGCTACGGGAGGAGACGCGATACGGGATACTCATTCGCTGGCGAACTGGTGCCGGCTGATGGATACGATCAAGAAACTTATCTGGCAGTTGGTGTGCCTGATCAACTGGTGCTATAGGATTGAGCACGAGGAGTAGTCGGTGCTTTGTTTTTAGTCGGGAAGTATCGTGTGCATGCACGACGCTGAAAGACGGCACCTATAGGGCGGTCAAGGGCCAGAATCAGATCGCGAGCTAACTCCGTCTTGCACCCTAGATCATCTCCATCTTCCTACATGGTTGGCTCCTTGTGACAGATGTCAGGCAAATTTTCCGGCTCTAAGGCTAAGGTTGAGGTGAACAATATCTGCACTGCTTTGCTTCAACGTAAGCGCGTCGCCCAGCAGAGTTGTGGTGTTCATCAGCTTCAACGATATCTGATCATCAAGAGATAGCATCCCGCAATGGAGTGTCATCTGTGTCGCCGTGGAGGCATATCCTCGAAGCGCTGAGAAGTGTATATTACTGCTTCTCCTCAAAATGAGAAGAGACAACCCACAGCCTGCGAGCTCGCGTCGCTACCCTTACTCTCCGTTGAAACTATGGCTGCCTCACAGACAGCACAGCTTTCCGCCCAATATTCTAGCATGTATGTGACCTGTCCTCATGTCTCAAACCAACAATGGAAGAGCTGAAGATGAGTTTTAACCTGACCGCATAGAATGACAGGAAACTACTGTGAGGTCGCAGCAACAGGTACAGTCCTTACTGAGCTGCAGCATACTACTTGAATTCCCTTCAGAGTTAATGCCGACTGATTCACTGATCTGTTCCGCAGCGATTTTCGTTTTTGATTCAATAATCACGACTGGTGAAGAAATACGGTGTTTCTGGGGGCGGAATATCACAGGAGCAGCCATCGTGTTCTGGCTGAACAAGTACATGACCATGCTTTTTTTGGGCTGGGGCCTTGCAACATTCTTGAAATTATCTGATAAGGTCTGTACTCCACCCTTCCTAGGATCGAATGAATCCACATATAACTTGCTCTATCCAGAGGTAAATCAATTCATGGACTCTCTACAGAGTACTACAATGAATTGTCTTCATGTAGCTGTGCTATGTCTAGCAAGAGTATTGTTGTCATCGACTGCTTGCTCTTCATAGTCCTGGCAGGTGCGCATCCTATGTCCAATGATATTCATGAGCACATATATATATGTCGACTTCCCAGCATTCACCGCCATACGCGTCTATGCACTCGGCAGGAGCTTGAATCTGTGTGCTATCACTGCTGTTCTATCATTGGTTCCTCTCGGAATCAACTTCGTGAGATTTGATCACCGCACATTCATTGCTATCCTGTGAAGACTGACCCATGCATAGGTTGCATTCCGTTTTGGAGTGACCGGCAAGAACATCTTTCCTTTTGGATGTATAACAATTGACAGTCAGTCCATTGGTCTCACCCAAAAGTATGTTTCCTTGAGGGTGTCGATTGGGAATATACGCTAAAGCTTGACTTACCTAGGTGTAAAGTGCGATTCAACTTGACATCAATGCTCCATCTTACAGGCTTGTTCAGTTGTCATTATAGCTCGGTCATGCTCGATCGCAGCAGACTGCCTCGCCATTGGTTCAACGTGGCTCGCATTAGGTCTCCCGCATGCAAACAGTCGTGGGGGCATTCTGAAGGGCTCAATATCTAGTGCGCTGCTGTTGGATGGTGTGTACCAAGTAATACTAGTGCTGATCCGGGCTTAAAATGCTAATGATATGCCTTGCAGGAACAGTCTACTTTTTGTGAGTGGCGCAGTTGGGCAGCATATCACAACTCACTCCTCCCTCGTTCAGGATCCTTGCAGTGCTAAATTCCCTCCATCTTGCTTTCACGTTACTTTCAGTAAGGTTACACTATAACTGAACCCGCACAACATTTGACCGTGGATGTTATAGATCAATATAGATTCATTACAAAGTGTGAGCGTAGTGACAGCCTTCACAGCCCCGTATGTGCACCCTTGCGTCCGTTTCTCGATCCCATGTCTTCTGACTCTTCGCATGCACATTCAACCACCAAGGTTATCTGCCATCCTCGTGTCGCGCTTCCTCCTCCACCTACAGTCAGCGAGCCTCCGGGCCGTTGGCTCCATACCATCCTCACAGATCTCATCGCTGCACCTCGATCGTTCTCTTGTATTCGAACGGGTCGTTGGATCACTCGGAGCATCGATTACCCCTGAAGATTACCTTAAGGAGGACTACGGTGAAGGTGATGATGTTGGGAGAGCTGACGAGCCGACTCAGACATTGAGGGAGTAGTCCGGCTCACGGGGTTGAGGAAGGGGACAAGAACTGTGGTATCTGGGTAGAAGTGAGACGTATCGCGTACAGCCTGCTCGTTGACCTCGAGATTGTATCTATTCGCTCTTGATTCCTGAATGGTCCCAGGGCTATTTATATGTATTGTGGTACCATCTCGAGGTACCATCTCGAGTGGGACGAGATTGTCGTTTGCATTTGCAGCGATGACCAGTAGGCTTTGTTTAGTCATATTGTGTTCCTTGGCTCAATCTTCGCTGTTGGCAGGTTTTACGCAAGGTATACAGACACATGTTTGTACCAAGGACTGCAGTAGATCAGCCGGATCAGCCTAACGAGCTCGTTGTGCACAATCGCAACCAACAACACTCGTAACCATAACAGATACACCAACGTACACATTGTATCGCAATTGCAAGCAAAGCCGTGCGAATTTACTGGCGATGTCGTACTGCAACTGCAGGGCCTGCTCCAGACTAATGCCGTACTATAACATTAGCTAGCCCGCATACAGCGCATCTGTGTCGAGGATGCTGGGACGCAAGACAGGCATATGATACTTGTTAGGGGGAGAGGAGGATTCAGTACCAATTCGTCTACATAGACGAGACTAGGGGAAATCTTTGTCCCCAGCGTGACACCCCACGCGAGAAGACTGGTGCTCCAGGAGGCAGCGACGGAGCGTCTACCGGGTCCAACCCCGCGAGATGTTCTTCTCGTCATCTGAAAGCGAGGTAGCCCTAAGACCGACGTGTAGGAGGGGCATGATGGCTTCCCAATCAGGGTCTCTTCTCGGTGTCCAGCTGGAGACGCTTGGAGAACCGACGCCGGCCGCGACCTGGTGCCAGTAGTTTTGTACGACAGCAGCTGACGCAGTGATGCAAGTAAAGCTTGCGTTTGTACGGTGAGCAGGCGCGTAGATCCGAATATGCTTCTACTTGGTTGCAGGGAGAGGAGCCAAGACCTGGGACGATTGGTACCAGAGACGTACAGGACAAGAGCGAAGATGACTCGAAGAAGATGCGAGTTAAGCGATGTGTTAGATTCAAAGCGGAGGATCCTCAAGCGAGCCCGGCAGTTCCTATACGTTCTTCTGGAGGTACGAAGAGGCAGCAGAGGGAGAGACGCCAGGAGGTCGCGCTGTTCCAGCCTGTGCTAGTCCGTCTCCAGCGTCACGTCATCTAAGGGGATACATCAGCATGCCAGCTCCATGGTCAGGCCGGTCAGGGCCGCGATCGTAAGCCTATTGTCTGCGTAGAGCCCAAACACGCTGTCTTCGCTGGCAAGGAAATCGATCGCGCAGGTGAGAACGTACCTGCAGAGTGCGACAGGAACATCCGAGCTCCTCCCTCTCCCTCTATGGAAACAGCGGCCTCGAAGCTCGATGTTGATCAAGCCCGGTATTCGCCACTATGTGTTGCCGATAATCCAGAGCGCAACTGAATGAGGGTGACAGTCGTGTCCAATAGAAACAAGCTTGATTGCGTCTTGCCTAAGGCGTATTTGTGTCCCCGGGACGCGAAGAATAAAGGCCCGAACCGATTCTCGGAGATCCGTCCCGCAACATTTCGTCCACTTGCACGGAGTTACGGGTAAGCTGTCCCCAGCAGAACTGACAAGCAAGAAGGTGGGCGCCTCAGGCGGGTAGCCACGACAGTTGGCGCAGGTCTCACCTCACACTATAACTGCTGATCGTGCTTGTGACAACAGCCGAGGAAAAGGCGAGACATTTGAAGCTACATAGGAGTTTCGTACCAACGACGACGAGGGTATCATCACAGTTGCAACTTCCCTGGGTGCTGGCGCCTCAGAACTCGCGTCCCAGCTGTTCGTGGAACCCGACACCGGGGCAGCTGTTCAAGACGAGAGCTGTGGCGGTAGTGTGAGACAAACATGTGTTCGTGCAACAAGCATGCTGTTCGAGTCGGGCCGTGATCCGTTCTCAGACGAGATGCTGCAGTAAAGTATGAGAGACGACGGAAGACGCAAACGTTAGGAGGCCGGGCCGCTACACTGTGCGGTAGCACCACTCCAGCGTGAAATCCTGAACGGGGACACGCCAGCAGGCTCGCTGCGTCGACGAGGTAGCAATCGCGAGCCCAGCATCGGCATAGAGCTCAGAAAAACCCTCTCCACAGACAACGAAGTGGATCTCGCTGCTGAGACCGTACCCGCTGGTCATCGTCGCCTGCCAGCCCAGGAAGCGGTGGGCCCGAGATTTGATTTAGATCTGAGACGGTATCACGTCTTGCCGCTCATCCAAGGCGTGGCGGAATACGTGAGGGAGACGAGTGTTGCGCAACGAAATTTGATCGGCGGTGTTGCGACCTGTGGGCGAGATCCATGTTCATACCCAACGCGCGAGCGAGCGTACGCACCGATTGACACATATCATGCAGTTTACATAGAAAAGCTGTTTCGGGTGGTAAATATATGCTGCGCTTATCGACCTTCATGAGGGGGATGCTGAGCGCAGAGCTAAAAGCGCTACATAGTCGCGTTCCATCAATGAGCGTGAGCGACGCAAGGAGCAAGCATGGCGAGTCAAGAAAGGGTATATGTCGTCGTCGTTCGCACATTACCACTCACATGGGGGTGATAGGACCAGCGTAGCGACGTACCAATGTAAGCTCCGTGCCGGCGCCGGGCAAAGCGGCGGACCTCCGCCCCGGGAAGCCGGCGCGGCCCGGGCCCATTGGGTTAGCGCGATTCGAGACGTTGCGGCTCTTAGCACACCACCGGTTCCAAAATCCAGTTATAAGGCTGAGAGGGCCGTCAGCAAATAGTTCTTGCACGTCACTCCAACTTGAGGCAGAGGCAGCCGGCGACGGTAAGGGTGGGGGCGGGGCGCCAATTAGCCCCGGCCCCCGCAAAGCCGTACCAGCTGCAATCGGGTTCCAGAATGCCTTTATACGGGTCGATCATCGTGCGATTGAGAGAATTAGTGTGCTATATAGTTTCCGTATACATGAATCTCGTCATCTGCGGTCCATCATGAGCGTACGCTGCCCCTATACCTCACTGGCCACGCCCATCTTCTCCGCGGAGGACAGCCCCTCGTTGCCTTCCTCTGAGCCACTCTGGGAGCCTATCTCGACAGCCGAAATAATGGTGCACTGGGTCGCTATGCTGTCAACATTGGGACGACCAAATATGAGGGTGCTTGCGGCACCAGGCGCAGACCCAGCGTCATCTCCCTCGTCGGCCCGTGAAACTCCATGCTCAATCGGCGATCGCCTCATGGCAACGAGCAGAATGATGATTGTGGGGTAAATTGCCTGCAGAGGTCATGAGTACCCTCAACAACTAAGACGATCGATATGGCATATGGCACACTTACGGCTATGGGTAAGAGGCATCCATCGGCAAAGTACCACCCAATCTTGTCAAAATCACTCGCGCTGCTTGTGATCACAAATGGCCGCTTGAGTTGGTACACAACGAGGAACATCTGCAGTCCATCACCAAATCATAAATAAGCTTCCAGCCAATACCAAAACGCGAAGATAATCACTTACCAGTAGCGCACAGTAGATAGTGCCGGACTCGACAAGCAGAGCGAGAGCTTTCCATGTACTCGTCGTGCTCCCATCCGAGCTGAAGTACTTCTTCACCATGCGTCTGTACTCCCTAGGTGTGACTCAGAGGTCAGGTAAGCCTGCTGATGAAGGGTCATTGGAGACACGCACCACGCTTTGTAGGCAATCAAAGAGGTTGCAAGCATGTTCACGGACATGGATAAGATCAAGAACGCATCCGCAAAGCCGCCCAGACTAGTTAACAGATGGAGTTGTACGTAGGGGATTAATTTTGATTGATGGACGCTGATGACGCCAATCACTAAGGTTGAATGTGAGATACGGCTTCAGCGTGAAGATGTCATGCGACGAACCCAGGGTTAGAGCCAAGAGGAGGGGTCCAAGGAAGTAGACGACCCTCTTGCGCCATACGACGCAGGCTCGCCACCACACAATGGCATCTCCGATTATGATCTGCTCGGAGGTGGGCAGGTGGGGATCAGGAAGAGAATAGGAGAACAGAGTAAGGTACTGACGTTAGTACCCGTTGTCATCGTCATCATCCATGATTGTATCTCGACGACATGCTCAAAGGAAGCGACATCACCACTCGCGTCGTAGGCCGTGGATGTCAGGCCGTTTGTGGCGTCCAGCACCAGTTGGCTGACACGTAAACGGTACCATACCAGTGCGCACATATAGATGCTCGTCGAGGAATACAAGAGAAGGGTACTGAGAAACAAAAATGCCACTGATATTCGAGACCGTAACCCCTGGCGACTATAGTATACGCATCAGCGCCTGTAGTATTAGGTGAGACCAATTAACGACTTGCACAAGGAAGATGATAGCTACAGTCACCAGCGCCGTCAAAATGCCTAATATCTGGTGAGCCATGGTTTGATGATATTGAAGGGTACGACTCACCGAATGATAGACTTGCCACGAGTAACTGGATGCTGGACTGGCTTCCGCTGCTGGCATAATATAGAGAAACTGTCAGGGCGAAGTCGTTAACCTCAACGGAACGAGGCGCGAGGGCAGTCGAGGCATGTGGAGACATTCTTCCGAATACAAGACAGCTGCAATGAGCTTAGAAAGGGCGAGAGAAATAGTGCAGGAACACGAACGGCTCTGTCACTAAGTATGGAGGCTAGCCCCGGTCGAGCTCGGCGTCACATGCCAACCCCGACCCTGGTAGAAGCGCGGCAGAAATAGTCTTGAAAGATCGTGTGCATCTCGGGGACTTGTCCGACGCGAAGAGTATCATCCATGCTTCGAGAACTGGAGTATGAGTCCATCATATCCCTGTCGAGGATACCGGAGTTCGAATGTGGGATGTTAATTGAGTGTTACTTACCCCTGGCCGACTCGACTGGCGAAGCCGGTTATACTGTGGCAAACAGAAGGCACAAAAGCCAGAGAGCCTCTGGCTGTACATAACAGCCAATGGCCTGACTGGGTCTTCATGATAAGCTCATAGCCTGAAATATCCACGCCACATACATCAGACAGCTGCCGCCGCTGCCTCAATTCTAAAGCCAATACCAGATCGTTGGTCGTTTCGGGTGTCGGACTCGGATCTTCTGTAGAAGGTGTCACTCGCGCCGAGTGAAAGCAATGATACTTCCACCTGTTTTCAGGGGTTCTCGTTTAGGTTCATAACTCGGAGATGCGCAAATGGCATCGTAGCGAACAGGATCGCACACTGAGATGCATTGGACAAATTCTGATGCGATCCGAGGGCTGCAGTCCTTTCACTTTCGTGTCGGCCCAACGACGCCGAGAGCCCCCAGTGCGGACGGATGTGATCTCCAAGGATAGGTGAGATGGTATTGAACAGCCTTTCTTGGCAGGAGCCACTATGAGACGTACATGATATCGTGAGACAAGGTACCCGAATAGGGCACCTTGACTTGAGTTCAGCGAGACTCCCTTGCGGCGCCGTCTGAGCAATAATAAAAGCCCGAGGAGACGCTAGGAACAGGAGACTCCTAACGCACCGGATGCAGCTAAGATATGCCATTGTGGTCATTGATCGTGGCGGCGGAAAGGAGAAGCCCTGTTGGATGAGGATTTCCTGGCAGATGTTGCAAGATGACTTGCCTCTAAGTACGAGCGGCGGGATCTCGGGCGATCATCTTGAACCTGCATCAGAGGTAAGCAGTTCACCCCGGACAGACCAACTGTCACGGCAGGGAATCGGATATTTCCAGCTGGAGAAAAGTCTCTGAAAAGGGGACGCGCGAGGCAAACAATCCGTGAATGTGGCGTTTCTGGATAAAAGTCATTGAAAAACGACGGGCTGTTGCCTTTTGCGTCCCCATTTCATCGACTTTTCTCGAATCGAAAACATCCGATTCCCTGCCGTGTGTATGCTATCCGACGACATTCCTCGGGAAATTTCCACTCTTTTCTGAGAGCGAATGGTAGAACACAGAAGGAATGGGAGGATCAGATAGAACGGAGTCACCACACTCTGATGAGGCCGCGCGTTGACACGAGGGACAGGCGCCGAAGAAGGGAGAACTGCCTCTGGCGCCGGCGTCCAAACTTGAACTTGGCACTCCTTGTCAGGGCTCCACTCGTACCAAGCTCCCAGAACCATCCATCACACAGGACACCCGGAAACTCCACATGAATAGTCATCTCTGGTACAACATCGAAGACATCGTATACAAAGTGTTCGAGCTGCTGCAAGTGGACGTCATAAATGCCAGTGGCAATGTGCAGGACGCGACCCTATGTCGTCAAGCGCTTGCTCGGTCAGCTCGGTCCTGCAAGGCTTTCGCTTCTTCAGCACTGACAATCCTATGGAGATCTCTGCCCAGCGACCGACCTTTGCTTGAGCTGCTGTATATCCTTGGCAATGTGGAGAGCTTATCCGACTACTCTCCCACAGCGTACAACACCGGCATCGGTCTCAGCGATACGCCTATCAATCTTCCTGTGAGTGTATACTTTGCGTGATCGAGGCGCCGCTTTTGAAATCTACGCGCATCGCAGGTCTTGAGCGTCCAGGAGAATGTAAGAGCACACCCTCAGTGGCAACATTTCTTGCGGCATGCTTCCCATGTTTGTCAGATCAGATTAGACCCCTTCAGGTCGTCCGCGGGCTCAGCTATCTGGCCAGAGATAGCGTTCTCCATGGACGGTATCCTGATATTACCTCGACTCACCTCGGTCTATGTGACTTCCATATTCTCACCCTTGCGTGGTCATGTCCTCTCTTGCCATAATCTTGGATGCCTTGCTCTCATCCATCCATTCATACGGAGGCTCCGGCTGCGACTATCCAGAAAGGGCAAGGTCGATGAGGCACTCCACCGCATCATGTCTCATATTGCTGCCACGGCCCAGAGCCTGGAATACTTCCGCAGCATGTACTCTCCCGCGCATCTTGGCGATCCCGGACTTCTAACCCACTTAACCCGTATACGCCACGTGACGATCGATGGCGATATCCATCCCAGCGACCTGCGAGATGTGGCTAGACTCTCTGGTCTCAAACATCTGTCCATCCCTGTTTCCCCGTCATTCAGTACTGCCCGTCTCGTCTCCTCATCCATAACGGATCTCCGTGTGGAGGATGCTTGGAACGTGCTTAGTGGTTTCTTGGAACGCGCGCACGTTCCACAGCTGCGGTCACTCCATATCACCACAGAGAGTTCCGCGAAGTCACCACTTGGGGCAGACACCTCTCAGCTCCTTCACATCGTGGCTGCCGGGTCACGACGCTGGAGATACTGTCCATCAAGTGGCAGGATGACTGTGCGCGACGCGTGGACGCCCCCATCCGCGCGCCGTACTGGGCGGGGCAGCTGGCGGAGATCACGGAGCCCCTTCTACCTCTGTGCGCTCTGCGTGAGGTGTCGCTTGATTTTGGGGGCTATGACCTCGAGTACACGTCCCGAGACGTGCAGGCGCTCTCCAAGGCCCTGCCCAGCCTGGAGGAACTCCGTTTGTACTTCCGAACGGCCATTGGGCCTCGCTCCGGGATAGAGTCGCTCATCCATTTCGACAATTGTCCGCACCTACACATCCTGCATCTGCCAGGGATTGATGCCGCAGACGACATACTTACCGCGGCCGGGACTCCTGCGGCCCCGCATCCGACTCTGCACGAGCTTGTCATTGAGCGCGTGGTCTTCCGAGGGACGGATGAAGCCAAGGTGTCTGCAGAGATGTGGCAATCCATCGCGCGACAGTTCCCGAAGGCCACTCGACACGCCACGATCGGTCCGAAGGATTGATGAGAACGTTTCGGTACGATCCGTACTAGACGACGTTCAATGTCCCCCTATCGCTGCTGCCCCACCAATTCACGTTCCGTCCACTTGTCAGAACAGTTTCGGGTTACAATATGACAAGGTCTTAGATTGCTCGCAATCCATACAGTTGACACCACCCGTACACATACATTCACACCCGACGACGAGTCCTCCAGTGCTCACACTTCCGAGCGAGTAACGTGCCCTTTCACCGTCGCCCCGCTGTCCAGCAACTGCGTGACCCCTACTAGTAGCATCCGGGTGCCCATCGACGCTCCCAACACGCGGAGACGGTCACACATTGCTCGTGGACCGACTATGGACTTCACCGTCGTCGCCCATCTTTGGGGCATGGTCCACAACCCATTGAAGAGTTCCTAGCCATCGATGGAGCGGCGTTGGACGAACTCGTCCATGGGCGTGTTGATATCCCCGAAGCAGCAGACGCAGACATTCTCACTATTGCAGCTGCTCGTTTGTTTACAGTACCATGTGCACGATGTGGTGAGATTAAGAGACGTACACGTTCAACGGAACATGATGTTGATGTCGATGAGGTGATGAGTGGAGGTCGTGCGCGATCAACAGTATGTTAAGCTTGCCCGCCGTGCCGTCGGGTCCGCCACTTGCAGACTAGGGCAGGAGCTCGGAGCTGATCTTGACCCATCGCGCCTCCTCGGCGATGGCGGCGTTGCTCATGTGAGCGTGGCGGGAGAGGTTGCAAGAGCAGGATAGGGCTTACGCCTATATGGCGCCAGCATGCGCATGGAGAGACAGGAGAACAACTACACTGCCAAGAATGGACGGCCCGGGAATCCGGCCCATGCTGGGCCTGAGCGCTGAGCCTGGGACTGATGGGTACGTCCGGCCGCGCAATTATCGATCTAGCCGGGCGCGATACCCCAGCATCTCTCAATGGAGATCATGTCTCCGCGAAGCTTCCTCGTCTATCCCACCCTGCTACCGCGCACTCAGCGCGGGGCAAAGCGAGGAATAGGGCGGCCCTGCATTCGCTGGAGCTTACACCCTAGACGCAGGTGAGCGAAGAACTACGGGAGAATATCTTTGCAACGTCCTGGGCTCGCACGCAATCCTGCTGCTGATATCTGTTGCGAAGCCGTGTATGCCGCAGGTACCATGCTCAACTTGCACACGCCATACCGGGATATCTGGAATGACCATCCACATGTGTTCGCTACGGTATGTACTTTTGATGTATTCTCCATAAACTCAATCTTTATCAACGAGACAATCGACCACGTTCCTGACGCGTTTATCCGGGTAGCGGAGAATTTGCGTCTCGGTCCTACGACACGAGCCATCTGTCCATAACGACCTCGAACTAGCGCAAGCCAAGTGTTAGCTGCTGTGCAGATAAAGTAGAGTATGACGCGGGCATATGTCTCCCCATCAAGTGCGCTCTTCACCCTACACCGTCTGAACCTTGCTTTGTGCAAGCGCCTCTGTCTAGATGCGTCTACTTTGTGCGCATATTGTAGGCATATATGCATATTCAATACAGAGTATCGAGCGGGGTGTAGGCCGAAGGGATGCCACAGCTCAGATTAACTCGCTTCTGGTAGATTGTGTCCGAGCTTGGTCTGTCGCGACAAGTCTTCATGCCTGAGTCGGTTGCATCACCCATCTCCCGAAGGTGGTTCACGCAGAATATAAACTCACTAGTTCGTTAAGACACCGAAAACAGAAATCGCACGAAACTCGTGGAACTGCTGCAAGTACAAGTTAGGTGGCTCATACAGTGTAAGGACGAGCTCCTAGACCTCGCACGGTCATCCCAACATGCTCCAAATCCTTCGGCTCCGTGTCTGCCGCGTTCTCCGCCCCACTATCGCCGCCAGGCCCTACTACCGCCGATCATTCTCCGGAGCTCTACACTGGCTGAATTCGACCTGAGCGTGTCGCCGAGGTCGGTTCCTGACTCATAGCACTCATGATATCCGCAGCTCGCGCAGGCGATCGGGGTGTTGAAGTAAGCGATCGCAAAGGAGTCCTGGGAGGTGAAGAACTCCTCGTGTACGTCGTGAACATCTTTGAGGTGTATGGCGAGAGTTCCTTCAGTCTCATGCTGACGTTGATCCTGTTTCACACCGTGAATATGGCTGTGCGACCTTCCTTACAGTGCGTAGATGCGGGGAGAGGCGCACATGCTTGCGTCTCCGCAGAAACGTATCAAGCCGATGACATGGCGAGACCGTACCAACTTGATTATCAATAGGGAGAACGCACATGTGGCAGAGCTGCGTTCTTTGGCCGAGGAAGGTCGTCTGAAGGGGTGGGAGAAGAACGCTATGCCGCGAGGTACCGTGACGTGAGGTAGACCAACTGTCAGATGATGTTTTCTCATCTGGTCCCTCAGGGGGCACAATTTCACCTATATATGGGTATTCCTTCTCCTGACAGCATTACATGGGATGTCCTCGCATTTGAAGCGGTACACTGCCGTGAAAGTAGCCTGCATCTGTAAAAACCACCTTTGCGAATTACACCTATTTAGTACAAATTAGCTCTTAATAGACACAGTAGTTGAATAGTGAAAAATAGTGCAAAATCGAGAGGTCCCCAAAAATAATTGCACTATTTTGCACTATTAATGCAAATTTGTGCAAAGTAGCACTATAGTAGACGGAAATAGTGCTACAGTAGACGTTGATAGTAGTGGATAGAGTGGGTCCATAATTTCTGAATAGTGTAGAAATGCTTAATATGACCTCAAAACCATCTGTTTATAAGCCCCAGATGCATTTAAAGTGCTGGAAAAAATATTATAAAAAGTAATCCTCACCCACGTCTT